GGCTCAAACGAGGCTAAATGTCCATCTTCTTTACATAGACTGATTTACATGAAAACTTTGTAAAAAATGAAATGTTGTTTGACAATAAAATAAATATTAGATGAAATTTGATGCAATGAATAAATCCCAAAAAATAAAAATAAAAAATAAAAAGTTTCATGAATTTTAAGCTTATTTATACATTATTTTCATGAAGAATTCCTTATATAGGTATTAAGAAAAAAGAAGTTTTAAAGAAATTTCAAAATTTAAAAATTTATCTAAATTCAAGAAAAAAAAAATCAAATTCAACTTTGATCGAGTCGAAGTCCAACCCTATCAACCCAAACCGACTCAAACTTGATCAATTTTGGTTGAGTTGGTTTGATTTTAGATCAAACTGACCATGTTGGATTATGTTTAGGTTGGAAAAAAATTCGAGCAAACCCAACTCATGCCCACCCCTACTCTCGTCTATTCCCTCTCTTTCTTATTTACCTACCAATAAAAATAAACAAGTGTTACATATTTTAGATTGAAAATAAAAATCAATCAAATATATTTAATTAACAATTTTCATTTCAATTACCTAGAGTAAATTTCTTGATTGCAATTAAACACACTAAGTATTATATTTCAATATTTTTGTATAACTGCTTTTGAAACGAGAAAGTTAAAACAATTTATGTTTTGAAAATTGAACTGGACCAATCGCTATCAGTTAATCGAAAGAGAAAAAATTAGTAAATAAATTAATGAACCGGGCCACAAACCGTCAAATCGGCTATGATTTTTTGCCAGATATTTAGCCCTAGTTTGATTTTCATTACATTACATTACATTCTATTTTTCTCTCTCCTATTTTCAACCACACAATCTTCCATAAAATAATATTATACATAAATCGAAAATTTTTCTTTCTTTTTCAACCACTCATTTTTCAAAACACACTATTCTATACATTAAATTTTCCCCGTAATGGGAGCCAAACAGGGACTTAGTATGTTTTCATTAAAAATTATTCCACTGCTTTTATTTTGAGCCCAATAATAGCAGGCCAATTCATTTACATTCCTCATCAGTGTTGCTATTTATAAAAGGGAATTCTCATGGACTTGATTGTTGATCAACCGATGTGGGATAAGTAATTAAAGCTACAGAACAGCTTTTAAGTGATAATCATCATGCACATTTATTTTATTTTGGACATATTAATAATTATTTTTGATATTCTAAAATAAATTATAAGATAATAAATCTAATTGACAAAAATGAATCTATATTTATTTTGAATTAGCAGTACTAAAATTTAAAAAATGCATTTTTGTTACTATATTTTATTGTTTGTGTGTATTTATTTATTTAATTTTGATATCCAGTCTGACCCTTTGACCCTTATCCTTTTTCGGGTCAATGCCGGTCTGATTTTTAAAACATCGGTAACAACTCTACGTTCTTGTAGTATTTTGCTTGAAATTTGTTTTTATTCACTATTTGACTTTTTCCATGAATTATCGAATAATAGATCTTTTACTATGAGATTATCTTTTTAGTAACGGTATCTAATTAGAAAGTTAGCTAGGTACTTGACCCTCTTTAATAAATATAATGGGGTCGATGCCGAACCTCCTAAATACACGTGTCCTACTTCATGATAGACCTAATAAAAGAGGTATTTATTTTTTGTGGTTGAAGTTTTATGGTTGACACAAGATAGAGCATAAAGGAAGAGGGGCTATGTGAATGTTGTACAACACAGTTGGGAAATAAATTTAATGTCACATGCGAAATTGTAATTTCATTTTTAAATTTTACTCTTCCCCAATAAGAAAGTGAAGAACCTAATAATTGCACAAATGGGTGCCAAATCATTTCTTCTGCCAATTTGGTCTTCTAATTTTTAGAGTTTGTAGCACATTTGCTCTTGGTACATATGATTATAACGTGCCTTACTTTTGAAGAAGAGTATACTAGGAAAATTAGCGAAGAAAACAAAAAGGAAAAAAGGCAAAATAACCCCGGCTACTCCCCAGACCCCTATCGTGAAACCTACCCTTATCCTCCGACTTCTTCCCACCTCTTGACCCTTGATCCTCATTTATATCTCATCCCTAGTTGGGATGGTAGCTTGGCACACACTGGTAAAGTGGGTCAACAAATGGGAAATTGTTATTATTATTTTTATTTAATTGAGAACAAGGTATATATAAAATCTTTTCTAACAACAAAAAAATATTTTTTTACAAGTGAAGTAGACATAAACCATTGCTTAGGACTCAAGTGCTGTGATCTTGAAGGTTTGGATCTCAAATGTTGTATTACCCTAGGTTAGGGGACCTAGACTACAATCTCTCTAATACTATGCTCTCGTTTGACCCCCATTACCTGAAAATGAAAATGGGAGGAATAATATTTTTTAGAAAAATGAGTCGTTGAAAAAGAAGGAAAATTTTTCGATTCACGTATAATATTATTTTATGGAAGATTGTGTGGTTGAAAATAGGAGAGAAAAAGATGGAATGTAATGTAATTGAATTTAATGGGGATCAAACGAGGGCTATATCAATAATTAATCCGTTCCACGGGGAATAGCCCAGTGGTGCAAAGGACAGGAGTGAGGTTATCTCAAGTCTTGCTAGCAGCCGTAGTGTGGGGGTTCAATTCATGAGATATGGAACTGGACTCCTTGTAGGCGAAGTGTACATGCAACTCTTGTTCATTGGCCTGTTGGAGCACATCCCGCGATTTACCTTCCTCACAAAACTCTATAGGAGGGGTAGCGGGAGCCCTCAAGTTTGGGGTTCAACCTTTATTAATAATTAATCCAATTTAAAATTGTAATTACTAGTAAATTAATCTTCAATTTCCCTGCCGGTTTCCCTTTCTCTTTTTATTTTTTATTTTTTTTTATTTTTTTTTTTTGCACCCTTAAAGGTGACTAAAGCATTTCATCCCTCTCCTTCAAAGTCAGGCTTGAATCTCAATCATTTTCCATCTCACCACTTGAGCTAGGTATTGACTTTTTTACTAGGTTGAAATGTACGCAGAAAGATAGGACGAACCCATCATTACAAACAAACTTTACTCAAGGAAGCAATGCAGTAGTTGGATTTTCCTTTTGTGTGAACATTTTAAGGTAAACCTTGAAACGTATTATTGTATATGACCAGACAATTATAGAGTAAAAACTAAAATCGATATTGCCCTAAATGAAGTTGTCTAATTTCACTATTGCAGAAAAAGGGCAATGATCAGATAGAAAAACCCACTGTTCAGTATTTTTTCCATAACACAATATTAAATAAGTTGAAATAATTACCTGGTCCAATAAGAACAAACTCCAAGCCAGGTACTTGTAATTGCTTGTTAAGTCTTCTTTATAACCGGGCAAGACATAACCTCTGAATAGTTGGAGCAGATTGTATACAGCAGCAGCAGAATCGATCCATACCAAAACACTGAACACAGAATTTTAGATGCAGTGCTACAACATGATCATGTATGTATATTGCATTTAAATTCTCGAAAAATTGAAAAAGAGGTGGATGGAACTTACATTAAGGCATTCATGTCCCTAAAGGTTGCTTTTCGGACGATTGAATAGAAGAGAAGTTTAGTTTGGGCATCGAATCCCACAAGACAGGCCGTCAACACCAAGATCAAAATCACAAGAACCCTTAAAAAAGCCTCCTTTCTTCCAATTAAACCCATTTTGAGCAGCAAATCTTGATGAAACGAATGTACTCCCCCCTAACTGTTCAGTGAGTTATAAGAAAGTTAGACTCAATTCTCTCAAGAGAGAAAGTGGACACATGAAGAAGAAATGGAGAGTGGGGACTAGCCATTAAAGTGTACACTTCAAGATGGGGCAATGCATTAATTGAATCTGAATTTAAAAGCCTCCTAACTCTAACTATTCATTAATGACTATGGTTCAATGCATTTAGTGTTTAATGTGAACTTCCAACTGATATCCACTCAGCTACTCTTATAATTTAAACTCCATTCCGTACGATGGTTTTATTCAAGGTAACAAGGTTGCACCGAAACTTAGAAAATGGTAAGAGTTTTTGGTTTCGATGATTTTTAACAGGTTTCAATTTTTCTTTATTAAAATTTTATAATTGTAAGGAAATATTTTGAATACTTTTCATCTGAGTAATAATGGAAACTTACAATAAAAAATATATAATAATAATAATTTCAAAATCCTTGATTAGGAATGACAATTAATTCAAGACATTAACCTTAGTAATGACATTTAACTAGGAATTTCACCAAAGAATTACTCTTATTTGTGAGTTTTAAATTCTTGTCTGAAATTTTTTCCTATGTGTTTGTTAGAAAAACTTAAAAAGTTGAGGTCAATTACTGATAAGACTTTATTCTTACCACTTGAGCTAAGCTTTGATCTAAAAAAGGTCTATAGTATGTTTGGCAAAGCTGTATATAAAAAAATTTGCAAATTTTGATCAAAGTTGATTACTGTATGTGGTAAAAAAATTAATAAAAGTTAAGAATCCTAACTGAAATGTGTGATTAAATTTGAAATTGAGAGGTTAAAATGTTACTAGTCTTGTAGACATTGGTGCTAAAATGATACAAAAGGGAGTTGAAATAAATGAATTTGTGAACTTGTAATATTCAATCTTTTTCAATTAGTTGAATAGTTATTAATTTGTAATGCATTTCTTTAAGATTGCATATATAACCCTTTATTAAATTGTGGTACTATAAACATGAAATTTTAGTTGCCTTTTATATAACATTTTTGTACCACTCACTTTGTGTCTTTTTCTTATAGATATTGTTTTCTCATGTCATGCTAGCTGTTCTATTTTGTGTGCAATCTTGGTTGTACATCAATGACCACATTGGATGTATTCATTTATAGGAAAAAGGTGCTTATTGTGTGAAAACATGTTAATGGTATTGATTTAAATTTTTCTTCTTCCCTATGCAAACGAATACAAGTTTGTCATGTTGTATAATTGATTGACGTCGATGAAGATGCAATTTTTCATATAAATATTATATAGTAATAGAATATAATAATTAAATTATTGTGATAAATAGTACATGAAAAATAAGCATATTGTTTTGTTGTCGTGGAATTTTTAATTACTTTTTATTTAGGGCAAAAATATATAAGCTACCATTGTCTTGAACTACAAAAGACTACATATAAAAGATATATAAGGGAAGAAATAAAAATACAAACTATTCATAATTCTCTCCTCACAAATAAGGATAATAGAGAATGATCACTTCAAGTTCATTTATAATCCAAAAATTTATTTAGAGTAGAATTCGAAACAAATTAAGATTACATGACTTTGATATTCAATAAAAAAACATATAACGTTTAAGTTCATAATATACATGCTACCTCTTTAAAATCCCTATCTCATAACAAAGAATGGATATGCTTCATATTAATGGACTTGCATATATAAATTTTCTTATCATGTTTGCAAAGGTTTAAAAAAGTTCACACTGCTTGAGGCAATAAGATGAATGGTTTAGCTGCATGTATATAATAAGTTTACATAATGATTTATATACACATGATGTAGTGAGATATGATCGGGTTAAAATATTTCAACCAAATGAAAAAAAAATCACCACTCTTTTTTGAAACTTCATTTATCTGTAAATCATTAAATAACTGCTTATGTATAAATATCATTATTCTAAGATGAATAGGTTTTGTTTGTAGGTTGGTTTCACGACCGTAGTTGTTTAATTTTATTTTATCTTCTGTTGAATAATTTGGTCAGGGTTGCTTTATCCACTGCTTCAATTTAAGTCGACAATGAGTTCATGTTTCTGGTGTTTGGAAAGTCGTTATGCAATTCTCTACTTATAACCAATATTATTAATGGAATGAATGTTGATTATTCAGTATGTAAATGTATATTTCTTTTTGGATCTTAGGGAGGTTTAGGTTCTCTCAATGAACTCAACATATTTCTTTATTTTCTAGTGTTAGTTCGAATAAAATGAGTTCATAATAGTTGACTTCTGGAATACTTGATAAATTACATCCTTATTTGTTCATGTTCACGACCTATTTCTTCTTCATCAACTTATCACAACTCAGGTTCAGTATCAAGAAAATTAACGAACCCCAAAGATGAAATGGGCCGAAAAGGCTTGCAAGCCAACCCAAAAAAAAGGGAAGTTATGATTTTATTCAAAACGGTTCCCCTCCATGTGAAGGGGTGAATACCATTATGAACACCTTGATGCAGGCCCGATCCTGGGGCTAGGCAAATGAGGCCTATGCCTCAGGCCCAACATCTACGGGGGCCTCACTTTGAGCCTTTTTTTTTTTTTTAGTTGAACTTGAACTAGACCCAATGATACAGAAATGCAGCCCACAACTTCAAGCCCAAATCCAATCCAATGCCCTTAGCCTTAGTCCAATTACCCAATTATATATATATATATATCCTTTATCCATTGCGTTTACGTTGATTTCGAGAGGGGGCCCAATTTTTAGGCTTTGCCTCTGGCCCCGACAATCACAGGACTGACCCTGCCTTGATGTACGTGTAGCATCATCCTTTAAACAATTACAGATGACAGTACATGTTAACTTAAATATTCTCTTTAACACATTTCCTTGATGCATGATAAATACAAGATGTAAATGAACGCTTGTCTCTCTCTCTAACAACGATAGAAAAAACACAATTTATATGCAATTAAGTTTTGTCCTAGTACCTTTGTCATGGCAGACACATTTCGTGTTTGTGTCTCTTATTACAAACTTGATGTCCTTTCTGATAAATAAGTCAAAGAGTTTCTTTTAATCTTCATTACCCATTGTCTGTTGTGTCTTTTCAAATGTACCATGATAAGTTACATGAAGAATCGTACTAGGTTATGAAACATGATTAGAAAAACTAAACTGCAATATGTCGATGAAATTTTTAACCTTTTTTTAACTGAATTAATAATGTATTTGTCAAAACAATAAAAGTAACGTTGCCATCAATCTTCTCAGCGTTGCGTATAATATAAAATTAATAATTAAAATATTTATAATATGTTGACTTTTTAAGATGCAACATCTATATTCATATTCTTATTAACAATGCTGCACGAATTGGTTCAAAAACAAAGTGCATACGTATCAACACATAATTGGACTGTTTGAAAAATAAAAACAACAACCATCCAATCATTTGCTGTCAAGTTAGACCTTTTTTTTTTATGTGTCTTTGAGCTAGCCTGGACAAACATCATTTCTGTATTCTTATTGATGCCAAAGTCAATGGCAGAAATTCGTGACAAATTAATTTAAAAAATTTATTACATTCTAACTCACAAGATAAATTTAATCTCATCAAACATATGAATTGAGACCGAATTGACATGTGGTTTTGTATGCGTTTAGTTTAATCATACATCTTAATCAGTCTAATACCATATGGCAATAAAGTTATTTGTACAAAATTGAATTACAAAAGTTGGATTACAAAGTGCGTTAGCAAAATTCAGATCATTGATTTGAAATGATTTAAAAATTTGTTTTTGAAATGATTGGTGTGGATGTTATTTTGTCAACCAACTTTGTAACCAATTTTTGTAAGTGTAGCATAACTCAATTCATGCCGTAAAAGGTTGAATTACTAATTAAATTAAAGTCGTTTTTAATGTCTATGGATTTCAACGTGGAGAGCATTAATGTCCTCACAATTCTTGGATCTTCAACATTATTGGTATAGTGTTGGCCCAAACGTACCAGTCACGTAAAAGTTATTAGTTGCACGACAATACGCATTTATGCTTGATGCATCAGATCAGATGAATTATTTTCAATTGTAATGCAATATTGTTCACGAGTGAGACATTATCTTTAGAGATATAAGGAAATGACATATCCAAAATAGATGTTGATTAAACCATATACAAGTGGGATGCCTATAATATTACTTCGTAGATGTAACAAATTAACGAAGATATAAGATGGTTATTGGAATTGATTTAGACAAATTACTTTTGAGATTTTTCTCTAATTTTTTAAGTTTTTCACGTAACACGAATTTCTCTATTCATCCTGATGTCTTGTTGGATGAGGATCATGGGAAATGAATCAGAAAATTAGTCCAAATAGATTAGATGGTCACTTAAAGTCCCATATTTTGACAAGGCACAGGAGACGTTACATTTATAATGGAGTTTTTGTCAAATTTCCAAACAACCGATTTGATATATACAATATCGAAATAGAGAGAGCACTGGAGGATCCAAGCACGGGCTCAATCGTGCTATAGCTCATGCCTGAATCCTGAAAATGTCCCATTTTTTTCTTACAAATATAAATTCATGTATATTTGTATTGTAGTCCGTGTTCAATGTCAAGGTTGGATCCCCGAGAGAGAGAGAGAGTGTATATATATATATATATATATATATATAAGCTTCAGGGTTGGAGCTGCGGATTGTAGGCATGTAGATAAGATTATGAGAAGCAATTAAAGGTCTTCTACTTACCAAACCCAAAAAGGATTTTATTCGTTTAAAAACGAGGGAAATTAAAGGGACAACACAACACGAAAACCCATGTTAATAATGAGTTAATATACAATTTATTGGGGAAGAAACGGTAAATTCCTCCGAGGACCTCAACCTTTCATAAATGAGATACATCTTGGATCTTTTGTTTGTGTCACCCTATATCCTTCAACATTTTAACTTGTGCACATGATGTCCCAACTCGATGAAAAACATGAAGATCTTGCCAAACGGTGGAATGAAACCCTTGGTAAAATCTTGGTCATACGTGAATGCCGACAAAAACCTTCAAACGTGTTGCAAGATTGAGAAGGATCTGAATATAAGTTGATCAGTCAATCGTTAGTTCTTTTAATGAGGAAGATTATTTTTTGACAATTATACCCGCCAATCATTTATCTCGTGTCTATTGCTTAATTCTTTAATATTTGCACATAATTTTTCCATCAAGTGTAACATCAAGGGGAGAATGTGGATAGTTTGGGAATGTTAGGTGGCACAAACAAAATGTTAGAACCAAGAATCTCACCCTTAAAAAAGATTAGCTAGGGACCCTTGAAAATTTTGGATATGTCACTAATTGTTACATGCATTTCTCACTAAAGTTCAATTTATGTATAATTAGTTATTGAACTTTGAAAATTATCTTTAGTAGACTCTTCTATTAGTCAATGCTCGTAAAATTATTGCTAAGAGAGTATATTCGTAACGCCATTATATATGTGGAGCCTAAACTATCAACACTAATACTGCACTGGTTTCACCTTAAAAAAAAAAAAAAAAAACTCTAATCAAACTTCATCCCAGCAAAATTTAACATTTTGAATGAAATATAAATTTCTTTGATCTTTCGTATTTCATCCTTTTAAAATAATTCCGTCCAAAAATCCCACTAAATTGATCAATTCTCGTGAAGTCAAGTTGAGCCTTTTGCGATACAAATAAGTTGATTATAAGCACTGTAGTAGTTGAAGAATTTAATTAATAAATTATCATAAATACCTACTCCATCCATTAGCTCATTAAAACTAAG